GACTCTGTCTAGACCCCGCTTCGCGGAGCCCTGTCCTGGCTTCATGTCTCCGGCTTCTCTCCGGGTCCCCCTGACTTCTCCCCCCCTTTCTGTCCTCCAAGTTCTGACTCTGAATTTCCCTTTCCCTAAGTCCTGGCCCTGGGTCTGCAGTCCGCCCTCCCAGTTTCGACCCGTCCCCCAGGTACCGTTCCCCAGTTCAGCCGACCCAAGTCCCGTTTTAGGGACCCCAAAGTCCAGCCATGGCCCCTTGACCCCTTGAGCCCGTGTCCCCGCCATGGTCAAGCACTCACAGTGAGTCCCGCAGCAGGCAGACTCCCCGCAGCGGCGGTGGCGGCGGCGGCCGTAGTCTGGAGGGCAGGCAAGGGCCAGGGGCCGGACACCCGGCCTGGATGGGGGCTGCCCCCCTGCGCCCGGGCCGCCGCTCCGCTCGGGCGCTCCCGGACTGAGGAGCTCAGGGAGAGCGTGAGACTCGCCGCGAACTGCCACCCCCCGCCGGCGCCCATTCACTTTATGGCAGCCCAGGGCGCCCCCAGCCCGCAGCTGCGAGCCTAGCTGGTCGGGACCCGCCCCCTTCCAGCTGCTCTTCCCAGGCTTCACCCTTTCCAGCTGTGAATCTTCAGGCCCCGCCTTCGGGGGTGGGGTCCGGCCGGCGCGCTGCCAAGAGCCCCGCCCCCTGACCAATCGGAGGCGCTCCTCAGCAACCGGGACACGCCCCTCCCCACGTGGCTGAAACCACGCTCCGGCAAGAACGCTTTGGTAGAATCAAACCCGGGAGAGGAGGGTGGGCTGTGCGGCCCCGCGGAGCCGGGGCCCGCCAGCGGCGAGGAGCTGAGGCAGCGCCAGGCCGCCACCCCGAGCGAAGTGGAGCGGTGCCGGCGATAGGGCTGCCAGGGTGCCAGGTGGGAGGGCGCACTGGCCGGGACAGGCCGCCGGTTTTCAGAGCTCAGACTTTGTTGCCGCTCAAGTTTCGGCAATTTTCTCCACTTGTCGCTGTCTGTCTCTTTGCCCTTTTGTGTCTGCTCCAATCCTCCCACGTCTCGCCTTTCTTTCCTCTTTTTTCTCCTTCACCGCTTTGCTCCTGCTTTTTGTTCCTCTCCTTCCTCCTCTGCCACTTTGAAAGACTAATTTATTTTCCTCTCTACTCCTCTTTTTCCTCACACCTTTCTTTTTAAATTTAAGTTCTTTATTGTTTAATGTATTACATAAGTCTCCCTTTTCCCCCATTGATCTCTCCCCGGCCGCCCCCAACCCCAGCACATGCCCTCAAACCCCCCCTCCCTGCCCGTGTCCATTGGTTATGCTCACATGCATGCATACAAGTCCTTTGGTTGATCTCTTACCCTCACACCCCCTCACACCTTTCTCTCCTCTTCTTGACTATATCCCATCCTTTCCCCCGTTTTCTCCTCCAAGGAAGGTGGCTTCGTGGAGGAAGCAGAGTTTGGAATGAGACAAAGCAAAGAATCATTCTGACCCTGCCACCAACCACACCATTACTGAATGACTTTAAAAATATATATATTTGTATTGATTTCAGAGAGGAAGGGAAAGGGAGAGAAAAAAAAAACATCAATGATGAGAGAGAATCATTGATCGGCTGCCTCTACACGGTCCCCGGCCCTTGACCGGACAGGCTGACGCTCTATCCACTGAGCCAAGCCAGCTAGGGCCTGAGTGGCCTTAGATAAATAACTATCACTCCCTTACCCCCACCCACCCCAAACAGTTTAAGGTGGCTCTCACTGAATCTCAGGGCTTGGACTGGACATTCCTCAGAGGTCTGGTAGGTTCATCTGTTAGTCTGCCCAGGCTATGCT